TCTACGAGGTCAATCGTGTACGGGGAGGAGGCGGCTACACCTTTCCCCAGTATTTGAGTATCACACCTGCAGCGCCTAGAGGACCCTGTTAGGGCCGGCTAGCGAATTGACCGTGAAAGATAGAATCGCATGGGGTTGGAATCTGGGGAAGCTTGTGTCCTGGGGAAATCTCATCGGGCTGCACATGCTCGTCGTCCCGTGCCGTTCGGAGTTGATGCGTGGAACTTGAGGCAAATTCTACTGGTAGACAAGTGTCAACTTTTTTGAATGACGCTTCCTTTGCGAACTAGTTGCTTTATGATCTTCCGAGGCTTTCAAAGTGGTCAGGCGATGTATCTGGAGCGGATATTACGCCACGGATGCTTTTGTCATGCGTTCTGTGTATTCAAAACCATCCAAGCCCGGGACTGAGACACAAATCCTCTGCAAGATGGTGCTGTATAAATGGAGAGAGTTGTATATCATTACAGCTTGAATCTGGTCTGCTGTCGCACATCCTTGACGCAGACTGTGCACTCCAGCACCTGAGTCTTCATCTGTGGCTGATGGATGGTGATGGAGGTTGGATGCACGAATAGGAGGCTGGCCCGAGCTGATGCCGCTAGCCCTCGTGGGATTTCGGACCGACGGCCGCTGACGGGCGCGGTGCCGCCTGCGTCACCGGCCAGAGCGTGGTTGGACAACCATTCCAGGGGGTGGAGCTGGTCTACAAAGTCATCCCGGTGCCTATCTTATTGTACTCTGCTGGCTCGCGCCTCAAACGTCATGTTCGATTACGAAATGCTGAGTGGGAATGCCTAATGAGAGCACGGAGGCTCCGTACAGCCACCTGCGAGGGATCCAGGGGAGGTTCGACTGCGACGCATCATGGGCTGGACAGAAACGGGAGCTACGGGCGCTGAAGCGGCACGGAGGGGGAGCGCCCATCGGTTGATTGGCAAGCATTGTCTCGTACTGTGTGTCTGTCACGCCGCCTTTCCATGGCATGACCTTTTCAACAACCAAACCCTGTGTATCGATGCCCTCAGAGTTGGGTGAGGCTCCCATAGTTGAGGGAATTCTGAGTTCTCAGACCCGCCGTGTGCGAGGTTTTGGAAGGCGCCGCTGAAGATGTACTGCCCTGAGGCCTGAAGACTTTGAATTGAGTGGTGATTGGGGTCGCATCTTGTTGCCCCATCGAAATGAGGGGATTGCATTTGCGGCGCGCGAGGTCTGCATGCTGGCCTGCGTCTAGTGTATGGTGGTGCGGAGGACTGGAGCCGTGGAGTTCTGGGAGCTTGCCAGGACGCATGGTGAGTGGCCGAGAACGCCAGAAGGTCGCAGCCGGATTGTAGCGAGATGTGGAGGGAGATGACATGCGATGCGGGCGAATGAAGTGGCGAGTACGCTGCGGCCCAAGGGAAGACTGGTTGGGGCCTTTGGAGCAGTACCTCTAGGTACATGGCATCGCAGACAGGGAGTGAGCTAGCACCCTCCATGCTGATCACTTGGTTAACTCGAATGTTGTAGCGACTGGAAACCTAGCTCTCATCTGGCATGCGTGACCTGACCGACACGACCGAGTCAACCACCTGCTCGGGGGACGGGTAAACGAGACACAGGGTTTCCCTTCTTTGCTCGCTCGGCGGCTTTCTTTCTCCATGCCTGAATGGACTTGTCGGTCATAGGCCAATCAACGCAGGTTCCTGCAGACGGGGTCGATCCCTTTGGCCCGGCCAAGCGTGTGAAAGATGTGGCGTGGCTGGCCTTCCCAAGCCAATTTCCTGATGCTGGAAAGTTTGGTTCTGACAAGTCCTTCGTTTCGGGCAAAGAACTCCTTACGGCGAGCAGGATCCTGGTGATGTGATGCATGGAGGATGTCGACAAGCAAAGCTAGTCCTTAACTTGTGGTCTAGCAAATCAATGGCACATTCTTGTGAAGATAATTCAGTCCACCTACCTACCTACCTACCTACCTAGGTGCCTGCCCCAGGTAGGCAGGTAAGGCTAGTGAGGCAGGGAGTTTAGGTGTCAAGGTGAGGCGCCAGGCTCCCAAGAAAGGGCAGTCGGTAGGCGACATGGAGAAGGTGCTGCCGTACTGTGCGCGTACTTGCTGTCTGCGGTGCCTAGAGCTGGGTTGTACCTTCCTCCCTTTGTCACTCGACTACGAGATGGCACGGGGCAGGACTTTTTGAGGAAGACAGCACCAGGCCATGCAGCCAGGCGGCGCTTTCTTGCCAGTGATTCATCCCACTGTCATGGTGCTCTCCACCGTTGCGTCCATGTCTCCTCAGGAGGGCGACCAAGCAGTCCACACGATGATGCGTGACTCTGGCACTGCGCCGCTACCATCTGCCTCCACCAGACAAGGTCGCGCGACGGAGCGACTCCAATAGAACTGGACGACACACGAGACTCCCAGCGCCGACCATATCACACAAACACACATACATAGACACACGCTGAGGAAACACTGACATGTCCTGAGGTCAGAAAGGTAAGGGCACACCACCACACCGATCTGATCAAACACGGCACACGGGACTCGGCGCGACGTCTTTTCGGCCTTCGCAACCATCTCCCGTCTACGCCGTGTCCCTACCTCAAGTGGCGCCCCAGACGTCCCAGGCGTTCACCATAGACAAATGGCAATGGCCACCAGGGCCACCAAGCACATTGGACTGCTGCTGCAAAAGCATGGCAGGCATCCTTTGACATACCGTTGCTCCCGTCCGTCCCAGGCTTGCTCCATCGGCTGGTATCGCGAAGTACCGAAGCCAATCTGGCTCCTCAGCGCCCACCACCCTCGCTAGCACGGCACAGGGGGCAAGGGCCGGGGTCTGGAGTACCGCTGGATGCACGCCAGGCACTGTGGTGCGCCCAAGCGAACACTGACAGGCTCGATGAGACACAGCAACCACCACCAGCATCGATCAGAATTGGGGTAATGTCTCGCACTTCTACTTCTCCGCGTCTACGCCTTGCTTCTTCTGTCATTTGCACCTGCGTCACACATGGCCTCGACATGGGCACCAACAGGATCAGGAGCATGATGCGAACCGCCAGCAGCGCCACCTTGGAGCCCACGTTGTGCCATTCCCACGCCGCTGGCCGGTCTCGGTCTGTCGATGCCAATGACTTCTAGCGTCGACAGACCTTGGGTCCGTTTGTCTCGCCGTCGTGTGAGAATCAATTCCACCAGTCGATGACAAGCCGCTAGCAGCCACCAACATACTCCCCTGACCACACAGCACGCCCTGTCCCCCCCCCCTTCTCTGCCACTCATCAGCAGCTGGGCCTGCACGCGGGCGCCCGTCGGCCCGCGTGGGTGGAAGGGGAGAGTACCTTCGGCTCTTCACAGGTGGATAGGGACGGGCCCATCGCACTGTGGTTGGCGAGCGTTTTTCTTCGCTGTCTGTCGCAGACAAGAGACTATTTCGCACAATCATTGACCATGGCCGAGGCTACACTTTTGCCATGGGCGACTCGCCCCACCTGCCTTTCACTAAGATACCTTTAAGTAAAGCTCGTGGCCGGTTGTCTTACGACCGAGGGCTAGGAAGACGTGGTCGTGAGCGAGCTCGCCGAATCGGTGTAGCAACAGCCGGGCTGGCACAGTCCAGGCAGTGCCAGCTCGCCGAAAAGCTTCAAGTAAGCATCTCCTCAAGGAGGGAGTCGACAGTTGAACGACTCATGGGTGGAGACCCCAGACTTCCACGTCGGTCAGGTCAGGACATGCTACCGATGCCCGCGCCGGCGCCAACCGTCCGCTGCCCAACCCAAGCACCCCACGAGTCCCATGCTGGATTGCATACAACTCGGCCTGTCCCTCGGTCCATCAACCACACCCTACCAACCTCGAGCATCAATGGGCTGAAGCATGCGGGCAGCATGCTGGTGACTGTCCAAACCTGCCTCTGGTGCCAGGCACCATCAGTATGCCTCGATCCCGCTTCTGCACCCCAGCCGGCCCTTCTGGTCCAGCCCATGGCCATCCTGAGTTATTCATTGCGTTACAAAGTTCTCAGCCACTGCAATGTACATGTACTGCAACGTCTCTGCTTAACCCCACACCACACCCACACACGGCGCCAGTCGCCCGTTTTCCCCTCCCATCTCTTGGTTCGCTCGTCTGGTCTCGACCGTATGCCCAAGACCCCTGTTCCCCTCATTGCAACCCTGGAAAAGCCTGGCTCTGTCGCTCCCTATCCTCTTGTGTGCAAGCGGCTCCCATCCTACCCCAAGGGGGAGAAGAGGAGAAATCAGACGATCCTGGCCCTGTCGCCTGTGCCACCTTTCGGCTTCGAGAACCAGCCGGGGGACATCATCCGCTAACAAAAATTATCACTCCAGCCAGCACATACATCGTCTCCATTTCTGTTACTCAACCTTTCCTACTCCTTCCGGCGGCCGGCGGTGATGTCTCTTGCTTGACGTACACTGCTTTGAAGTTTTGCTTGCTCACTTGTTCAACGCTACAACAGCCAGCAGTGTATTTTCGTGAGAAGCTTGGCTTCGCGAAACCTTTCTTGCATCATCGACTCATCTTAATAACCTGTATCAAGCAAAGACCCCCCCCCCCCGGGCCTGAACCGATCTTCCTGAGCCGCGATCTGACTAGCCTGGCCTTGTCCCTGTTCTGATACAAGCCGATCTGGACTTTGTTATTTCTACATCACCACCAATTGACAGTCTCCAGGTGGCACAACAGCGAGACCGAGGTGTTGGGCTCTCTCTTGACGCTACTGTAACATTTCCGGACGTGGCTTCCGCCATCGCTCATACATCTGCTCTCCTCGGTGACGCACATCTTCTCACCACCCAACTTCGACGTTGAGGACGACGGCAAGTAGACTTCACTCTCTTCTTCAAGTTTGCATTAGGTCTGGTCGGGGGCTTGACCCATCTCCCACTTGTCCCTGTCATTTCGTCCACCCACACACACCGTCAACCCCACCATCTTTCTCACGCGTACGTACTTATGTACGGTACATGGTTGCGTTCCCGTTCGCCACAGATCACACCTCGGCGTCTTGTTGACACGACCCCTGCTCCTTCGATTCCACCCAGCTACCTAATATCTGCATGCTCTCCGCCATCTTCTCCGTCTCTTCCCCACACCTTAGCATCTTGCCCCCTGCTTTACTTGCTAACCAGCACCTCTTTAGCTCTGGCCCGAACTCATGGTGGATCAAACCTGCCTGGTCTCCCACTACCATTTCCAACATATAGACGTCGTCTCCCTTACAGCTGCCAAGGTACCTTTTGGTCCCGACTCCCTTCTGAGGACTCATTCGATCGGAGAGCACCCCTTCTCAGCGTCGACACAACAAAACTCCCACGCTCCATAGTCCTGACGTAACGACAGGACGTTACCAGCAACCCGTAGCCATCGTCATCGTGGGTCTGCAACATCCTGAGACGGGAGTCACAATGTTGTCCAACCCGTTGCATCGATTTTCGCCCTATCACGCCGCGCTTCCAGCTTCAACACTTTTCTCCAACGGGCATGCGCCCGCCAACCACCCCCATCCTGGCGGCATGAACGAAATGTCCCAGGGTTACGCCCTTCAGCAACAACTTCAACATGCTGCAGTCCACAACCCCCACCTCGCGCGAAACGCTCCTCAGCAAAAACACCGGCAACACCCATACGGTCCAGCAACCAGGACTTCTACCGGTTCAGGCCCTATCAGGAGGAGGATCAGTCGGGCATGCGACCAGTGCAACCAATTGAGGACCAAGTGCGACGGGCAACATCCTTGCGCTCATTGTATAGGTATGTTGGAAGCTAATGATCGTAAGTAGCAATAAATTGTTGACTTAAGGTATTAGAATTCGGCCTGGGCTGCGAATACGTCCGTGAGAGGAAGAAGCGCGGCAAGGCGTCCAGGAAAGACCTCGCCCAAGCAGCAGCAGCGGCAGCACAGGCGGCCAACGGATCCAATGGAAGATCAGATACAGACGAGAATGGAGAGTCCTCTGAACACAATGGCGAACCTGCCCCTAGAAGGGTTTCAACTAATGGTTCGAGTTCCCACTCTGGCATTAAGGTGGATGATATGAGCGAAGACGCAACGCGGCAGAGCCAGCGAACGGCATCCCTGGACACTTTGGACGATTTGAACGCACATCAACACAACATGGCCCAGCACCAAGTCTTAGAGAGGGAACATCTTGGCAGCCCAACTACTCTGGACATGAATAGCTACGGAGCCGGCATGCACCATGGATATGAAAGGCAAGCGTTGGGAGCCCCGATGCTAAACGGTCCGACACATGGACCGTATGGGCCCAGCCAGGGCAACATGCCGGCATATACGGAGCTACCGTACGGCATGCAGGGTCAGAGTCCGGCAGCCTACCCTACGAATCCTCATTTCCGAATCGGCAATAGCCCGATGGGCGCATATCCCATGGGCAACGAGCCAACTTCTCCCGGGTGGATAAACATGTCCTCACCAACGGCACAATATCCATCCCATATCCCTCAACACAGTTACGTACACGGCACTCAAAACCTACGTTACCCAGTATTGGAGCCTCTCATCCCTCACCTCAACAACATTGTTCCCATACCATTGGCCTGCGACTTGATTGACCTCTACTTCGCCTCATCATCATCTGCGCAGATGCACCCCATGTCGCCCTACGTCCTAGGTTATGTCTTCCGGAAGCGATCTTTCCTCCATCCAACGAAACCAAGACTGTGCCAGCCCGCTCTGCTAGCAAGCATGCTTTGGGTTGCCGCCCAAACTAGCGATGCTCCATTTTTGACGAGCATCCCCTCGGCGAGGGGCAAGATTTGTCAGAGGCTCCTTGAATTGACTGTCAGTCTTCTCAAGCCACTGATCCATACGCCCACGGGAGAGCCCTCGCCAGCAACAAGTCCAGTCATTGATGGCGTTGCACTTGGAGGGCTTGGGGTTGCGCTTCCCGGCACCATGAGCCTCGATGCTCTGACAGGAGAGTCAGGCGCGTTCGGGGCTGCTGGCAAGCTGGATGATGTCATCACCTACATCCACTTGGCTACTGTGGTGTCTGCAAGCGAATATAAGGGAGCGAGCCTACGGTGGTGGAACGCAGCGTGGTCTCTAGCACGCGAGCTCAAGCTTGGTCGCGAGCTCCCGCCTTCCATGAGACCCATGGGGCCTGTCGACGGAGATGACGGGGATGTCGGAGCTTCCAACGGCATGAATGGCGGTACCAGCACGCCGGGCTCCATCACTGAAGAGGAACGAGAAGAGCGCCGACGGATCTGGTGGCTGGCCTATATTGTCGATCGACATCTGGCTCTTTGTTACAACCGCCCTCTCTTCCTCTTGGACCTTGAATGCTCCGGCCTTTTCCAGCCGATGGACGACATGGCCTATCAGAACGGTGATTTCGAGAGCTACATGGGTAACACGACGGATCCCAACCTCGCCGGCGAGGGCCTTCATCAGCAACCTTTGCGAATCCGCGGACCTCACTTTGAGTGTACAGGACATAGTATCTTTGGATATTTCCTCCCTCTCATGACCATACTTGGTGAGATAGTCGACTTGCATCACGCGCGAAACCACCCGCGCTTTGGTGTAGGTTTTCGCATGGCACGAGACTGGGATGAGCAGGCTCTGGAGATCACGCGCCACCTCGAGGCTTACGAGCATAGTTTGAAGCGTTTCGAGCAGCAGTACCTTCGTCGCATGCACCCCGAAGGCGAAGGTCTAGCGCCCAATTGCGATCAGGCGTCTGCACTGGATGCCCCTGACCACAACGGCGCTGCAGATATTGGTACTCCCTCGGTCCACTCAGTGCACACGAACTCGTCAAATCGAATGACAGAGTCGGATATCCAGACCAAGATCGTCATGGCATATGGCACGCATGTCATGCATGTACTGCATATTCTTCTCGCCGGAAAGTGGGATCCTATCAATTTAATTGATGATAACGATCTATGGATTTCAAGCCAGGGCTTCATCACGGCCACAGGGCACGCCGTCTCGGCAGCCGAAGCCATCAGCCACATTCTCGAGTTCGACCCAGGCCTAGAGTTCATGCCTTTCTTTTTCGGCATCTACTTGCTGCAGGGCTCGTTCTTGCTGCTCCTAATTGCAGACAAGCTGCAATTAGAAGCCAGCCCAAGTGTAGTGAAAGCTTGCGAAACCATCGTCCGGGCCCACGAAGCTTGCGTGGTGACACTTAATACGGAGTATCAGGTTCGTAGCACTCCCATCGTACACTACTTGAAACCATACACACGCGATGCTAACCACCTCGCAGCGCAACTTCAGCAAGGTAATGCGGAGTGCTCTGGCACAGGTCCGTGGTCGGGTGCCCGAAGACCTAGGCGAACAGCACCAGCGCCGACGTGAGCTGCTGGCTTTGTACCGCTGGACTGGCGACGGCACTGGTCTTGCCCTGTGATGGCAGCACATGGGACAGAACTGTACGATGACGAATATTTTGGATTTCTGCGAATAGCGCACTTTGATTTGGTTTGGGAAAAGGGCGCAAATGCTGGAGCAGGAACTAGGGGCGGGCGTGATATACCAGTCGCAGACGGGGTCCGACACTTGAAACGAGGAAGGCATACAAACACGGCAACACTAAAAAGACAAAGGCGGACCAGCTGCGGGCCTGGGAACGGAATGAAACAAGGGCAAGAGACACGAGACATGAAGAATACCCAACGCTGAAAACCTTACCAGCGCATTGGCGGGGAAGAATGCCAGAGCTCTTCTGCTGTTGGGAGCGGCTGCTCATGCTTGTTCGTGAGACTCGGGCATCATGGCGTGGACAGAGGACGGCATTGGCTTGGGTGCTGCAGGTGCTGAGTTCACGAACTGTACATGGTTGTTGGAAAGCGTTCATCTGGGAGACGAGTGTCGAGTAGGCGATTATAATAACATTTTTCAACTCTGCCGTGCGCGCCTCTGCGCTTCCTGTGAATGAGCAAATGATTTCTTCATTTGATGTTAGATAGCTCAGTCATCATGTGCACATGGAGAGATAGATGTCTTCGGGCCAGTAGTTTCCACATATAGACGCTCAGCCATGATCAATGATCCGCCTCTCAAGAAGACAAAGAGGGCAACATGAAGGCTGACATCCCGACTGTACGAAGCGGCGCTTGGTTGTATGCATCAAAGTCGACTCATGATTACAGACAACGTAGGCAGGGGATGTGACTAAATCGCGACCTTGAAGAGTACATCGTTGGCTATCCGAGGACCAGGCGTGAGTGACAGTAGCAGCTATCATGTCCGCTCAATCGAATACAAAAAAACGCCCATTCATGACCAAACGCGGCAGGCAGAAGGACCAGTCAGACTAGGCGCATACAAAGTTACCCATGAAAATACATCAGTCCCCTATGCTTCCAAATTGCAAACATTTAGTCTAGGCCCGGCGGCAGCCAACCGGGGGTTGTCCCGCAGCGAACTCAGCGCCTCAAAGCCGGATGCGGCTCCTCTGAGCCATTTCGAGGCGGGAGCGGCGTTAGCCTGCGGCCCATTGGCGCGATATTTGTCTTGCCGCTACTGCCGGGAGTGCCGCCCTGGAACATGAACATGTTTTGCGGGCTCTGTTTTGCGGACATGCCCGCCATGCCCCAAGCCTCGAAGTTCTGGTGCCACTTGGCGCCGTCGTTGAGGAACCAGTCTTGGTCGAGCTCTTGGAAGACCTGGGGGCTGGGAGGTAGCGGTCGTGGGGGCATCGGTCGTTGATGTCTTTGCTGCTGTTGCTGTTGCTGTTGTGCTTGTTGCTGCTGCTGCTGCTGCTGCTGTTGTGCTTGTTGTTGTTGCTGCTGCTGCTGCTGCGCCTGTTGATGTTGTTGTTGTTGTTGCTTTTGAGGGCGGTGATAGGCAGGAATGGGCTGTGCCGACGGCCACGAGGTGAGGGGGACCTGTGGATTCGAGGTTGGTGTTGATGTGAGAGAAGCAAGGTCAAGCGAGGGGCTGGCGAGAGGGAAGTTCCCGGTTTGCGCCGAGATGTCGCCCGGTATGCGTGGTTGGATAAACTGGTCGATGGGACTGTAGCCCTGGGTGGGTTGAGGAGCGGGCGATGGCACATGGTCGTTGGAGCCCGTCGGAGAAACGCCGGTTCCGTGGTTTGAGAAAGGACTTGGGACGTCGCTCGTGTTGAAGGTACCATACTTTTCGTCTGTGCGACGAAGGGTAACGGAGGCCTCGTCAGGAAGCTCTACGTTCCATTTCCGACCGAGAACACTGATGATGCCAAGGGTGCGGCGCGCACATGGCCAATCTTCGGCGATCTCCTCGAGGTGCTTGACACCATGCGTGATGTCACGTCGAGCTGTCTTCTCGGGTAGGTTGAGCATGTGAATGGTGCATGCGCTGTGCACCATGTAGACAGCAATATTGCAAATCTGGCGCAGGTTCCAAGTCTTCTTGTAGAGGCGCATGAGCTTGGATATGGCACCGGCATTGGCGGTGCAGATCCGCCGCGGTGAGACGTGGGATGGTAGGGGGCGAGGCCGCAGGGGTATACTTGAGGAAGGGGCGGAATAGATGGATGTACTGTAGGTGGAAGAACATGCTGCAAAAGTGTTAGTGTTCGAGAATACTGCAGAAGCCTGGGGAAACGCACTGCATGAGGATGGCGTTTGGCAGTTGGCCATCCTTGGGTTCAAGTTCTCGAGGAAGCTCTTTGCGCCAGTCCTCGAGTCGGCGGTGCAGTTCACTCAGCTTTTTCAACTCGACAGCCTTACCACTCGAACGTCCAATGTGGTTCGGGTGGTAGAAAAAGAGGAGCAGATCACTACTGATCTTACAGAGCTTCGGAGTGGCAGGACCTAT